TTATCGGATGAATAATTTTGAAGTTTGTAGATTCTGCGATTTTACCTCCTCGTAAAAAAGAAACTACTCTACTTCCTTCTCGACAATCATCGATCTTCACACCATCATCTATAGTTATGTTACAACATGCAGCAGAAATTTCTTCATGGATCGATAAACGTGCAGAAGTTTATGATGTTTCGGAAATTCCATACTAATTTAAGCTATTACTTAGAGTTAGTAGAGATAGTTTTACAGGTGATATCTTTCATAAACTGTGCGATAATACAGTATACCTGATACTGTTGTCATTTTAAAAATCAATAAAACAAATGAGATACTTGGTTGTTTTAATCCTCTTACATGGAATGCATGGAATATTATTGATGAATGTGAAGTATATACTGAGACAGCTAATAGCTTTATTTTTTCTTTAGAAAATGGTAACCTTAAGAAATTTATTCTTAGCCGTGTACTTGATAAATCACGCGGAATTTGGATTGGTCGAAAATCACAAGGTTCGTGGTTTGGAAATGATCTAGGAATGGAAGTGATAGTGATACTAATCATAATGTATAGATTATGGGAAATGAAAAGCCTGTCAACGAAGTGACAGGGCGATCATTATTGCGAAATCAGATGACTTTATGACCAGTCATATTACAGGTTTTTATGTATCCTTTTGTGTTTATTCTTTGACTGTGTTTTTTACAGGTGGCTTATTGTTAGGCAAGGAATAATGACCAAATGAGATATTTAGGGCTGGTTGTTTTGGTAAAGAAGATTTTCTTTTTCTTCGCTATCGCTCGCCTCGTGAAGGCTGGCTCTATCACCCTCCCTTACCCACCCGAAGTCAAACAAGTAGAACTATTGTTATGCCAGGCTCCACGGCTGCATAAGCAGTGCAAGGACCTGATGTTTTTGGCTCCACGGCTGCAGTGGCAGTGCAAGGACCAATTTTGTATTTGGCTCCGTGGCCACAGATTGCAGTGCAAGGACCAGTTTGCATATGGCTCTGCGGCTGCAAATGGCAGTGCAATGACCATAATAAAGAAACTTCGCTTATGTTAGCATGAACATATATACCGATTCTCTTTGCAGCTATGAGAAGATTTGACGGTTTCCTCAATAGGAGGTATTTTGATCGGTGTATTGTTGTTTGGGTTACCCTTTATTTGTGGGCAGGCAGGGCATTGGTTGTGTCCTTTTCACCTGCTGTTTTGATATATCTATGTCTTTGTAGTTGTGAATTTGGTTATGTATATTAGAGCCACATAAGGTAGTGAACCCCTATTCCCATATGTTTTTCAGCTTTGTTAAATAAAATTGTTCAGTTGTCTAAATAAAGTCATCTGATTGAGCAATAATAATGCGTATATCATAAATTAATTAAGAATGAACCTGGCTGGTTTTCTGCTGATGAATGTGAAGTATTTCAAATTTATAAAAAAGTATTGGATTTAAGGGCTCCCTATCGACATTATCCTTTCTTAATTAATTTACATCACATGGCAGAGATTTCATCAGGGATTGATCGATGATCAACAATCTATGATGTTACAAAAATTCCTTATGAATTTAAAGTTTTACTTAAGGGTATTGACAGTTTGACAGGCGAAGTATTTCATAAACTGTGCGATGATATACCTAGTACTTTGATTGTTTTAAGAGCCAGTGGTATAATTGTTAGATGAAACCTCGAGGTTTCACGCTGATGAAAGTCGAAACCTAGTTTCGACTTTGTCAATTAAAATCCCAAATGACGAAATGTTGAAACTGTCAAAAGGTGTCGAGACTGACAAAAGGTGTCGAAACTGACAAACTGACGAAACTACAAAGGTGACAAAACTATAGATGATGATGAAGCAGATAAGTGTTATTGAAGATAATAATAAATTACGAAAACATAAATTTATAATAATTACTAAAATTTTATTATATAATAAACAAGTGTGAGGGTGCCTTGGCTTTCTACATTTTATGTTCATAAAGGGCTATATAATTTATTTTATGGGATCCAATCAACTCACCGACAATCACTTCGTAGATACCACTTTTCACAGACAATTATTCACCGACAAGTTTGTTTTACCGACAGTTTATTTCACCGAAGCTCATTTTACAGACAAAGGTCAATATCGTTAGGGTTAGGTTAGAATTAGAGTTAAAGTTTTTGTAATTTATAAAAAAAAACTTGTCGGTGAAATGAGCTTCAGTGAAATAGACTGTCGGTAAAATGAACTTGTCAGTGAAATGTTATGTCTATGAAGTGATTGTCGGTGAAATAATATGGTCCATAATTTATACTTATATTAGTTGTAATAAGAAGCTTAATAAGCAACTTAATAAAAAGTGATTTATCAAATAAGAAATTAATAATAAACAGATTATTTTACATATTTCAGTGTTTCGATTAAAAAGTATATTGGCTAAATTGACTTGAGTAAAAGACAAATTAGTGCAGATAATAAATTAATAAGAGGTGCATACATTGTTTTCAGATCCTTTATTATAATTATTGTTATACTTGCTAATTAAATTAATCTAAATAAAAATACTTAATAAAAAGAGATCCGTATTATTTCACTGACAATCACTTCATAGACACAACATTTCATGACAATTATTCATCGATAAGTTCATTTTACCGACAGTCTATTTTACTGAAGTTCTTTCACTAACAGGACTTTTTGAAATGAGCTTGTTAGTGGTGAAATGTGGTGTCTATGAGATGACTGTCAGTGAATTGATCGGATCTCTATAAAAAGTGGCCTATCGGGAAGTTAATAAGAAACATGAATTATAATATGCTATCAATTTTCTAAAAATTTACAGAGCAGCAAAGACATTCTTACTGCTTTATATTATAGATTATGCGTACAAATTAAAATTTATTGAATAATAAAAAAATTTATAAATAAAAAAAAAAAAAGAAAAATACCAGAATATTTATATAATTTACCAATTTATAATTTCTGTTTTAAAAATTAAATATACAAGCCACGTCAAACCAATAAACCTCAATAATAAATATATAAATTTATTGGGCATATTTTTATCAACAGCTTGGCTTACTGAAAATAGGTTTTCATTGATTTTTTTAGTGGGAGCACCAGAATTTGTTAAGAGTTTCGGTGATATCAGATTTTTCTTAGTAATCTTTACTTTTATTTTTTTTATTTTTTATTTTTTTAGTGGGGAGTATTAGTGTTTCGACTTTTGTCAGAATGATTGAGGATTTCGACTTTTGTCAGAAGAATTTGAGGTTTCAACTTTCGACAGAGGCTTTGTCATTTAGGGCTCAGGTTTCGACTTTCGTCATCAATCAAAAATGGTTTCGTTTAACAACTATAGTCAGTGGTACCAATGAGATACTTGGCGGTTATAACAGGACCGGGAAAATTCTATAATAGGTCCCCGTCCCAACTATATGCGAATACTACTATAAATATGGAAAATGTGACTGACTTATCATAGATTCGAATTATTATAAAGTCTCGTGAGGTCCTTGACTTTATATAATAATAATTCGCAGAAAAAAAGGTTACCGCCCCGGATTAGATTCGCATATATAGGATATAAAAAATGTCATTGCTATTAGTTGAATCGATTTTTATAAAATCAAGTACAAGTCCGAAATATTCCGGTTAGAAAATCTCGAATCGAACGTAAAATACGAGGAAGGTCGGTAAAATAATTGAAGCAAAGCTCCGAAAAATTCCGGATGGATTTAGCAGTCTAAATATATCAAGGTGCTCGACTAAAATGATTCGCTTTATTATTAAATTTTTAAGGTGCCTGCAAAACTGATTCGCATAATTATAAAAAAAGTCTGATTCGCAAAACATACTAAATAAATTTTTTGGGGTGGGGACCTATTATAGAGTTTTTCCGGTCCGTTATAACCCTCTTATCTGGAAAGTTTCTAATGAAGAATATGGTGAATATACAACAACAGCAGATAGCTTTAAAAAATGGAAAGCAGAATAAATCTAATATTAGGCGCGCAAACAAAATATCATATGCAATTCGTTATTATGGTATATCATATGGTCCATGCCATGGTTTGTTATTAAGAAACTTGTAATAATGGATGGTGATAAAAGATGGGATAATCGTTTTGATCAAAATTCTTGTTATCACTGTCCATTCAGAAATCCTAACTGTAGTTTTTCTATAGATGAATTTGAAGTATTTCAAATTTGTAAAACTTAACATACATTGATTGATTAAAGAATATACCGTATTTCCCATCATGAGTGCCCGAGTATTTTAGCACCTGAATACTCGTATAGAGGGGTATACAGTATGAATATGTTTTATTATTCATACCTAGGTGTTTAAATATGACATAAGTACCAGGTATAAATCAAAACTATTCTCAAAATCTCAACGCATGGGATCATTGCGGATAAATACGGTATATTTCTTTGAAAAATAACATAGTCTATTTAAAGACACTCTTTAATTATGTTATTATTAACTTAACTAGAAAAGAATGCTATCTTGTTTATTAAAAATGCTTGCAAATTTTTATTTTACAAAAGATTGCTGATTTATAGTTAATAAGGATATTAATACTTCGAAGTGATGGTTATTACAAAGACAATTATTTAATTATAAAAGAAAATTATAGCTTGACAAAAAAGATCTATATATAATTATTTGGGGTTGTTTACTAAAATGCACAAAATATATTGAACACAATAGCTGATATATATCAAAAAAAAAAACTGGCTAAGCAGTACTTTGGTGCTTTAAATAAGAATACTCAGCGTAACTAAATATCTTCATTGTTTAATCAAATAACCTTACCTAACATTACATGTCGATATAATTCTACATTAAAATTTCTCTTTTTTGAAGTAGCAGATGTGGGGTGTTGCAGTTTATTATGACCGCATTAAAGATTACATTTCACAAAATATAAATTGATATAATATGTCATCAAATAATGAATATAAATATTTACCTCTTGTATAAAATATATTTTAAAATGATTAAAAAAAATATGATTGATTCTAACTGTTAATGATCGAAGTAGTATGATATGTTTCGTTTATCGGCTTATTTTTATCCGTGGCTTTTATTTCCATCGTGCCAAAAGTTAACCAAAATTTCACAGGATGATCCAATGCCTTGGATAAATCGATTTTTAAGGTACCAAGTACTTGCATTTCAGCTTTCTTAATGTATTTAGGTTGGCATTCTTTCGCAATATATACCCTAAATAATGCCATTATTTGATTAGGATTTAATGGCTTTAATTCTATATAAAAAATCCGATTACCACGAAATAACGTGCAGGGGTGAAATTATAAATTTCGGCCTAAATTAAGCTTAATTTGGACCGAACTTCGTGATAACGCCCATGGTCGTTATTTCGCGGTATACGGTAATCAAATTTCCAAATTTTATTATCATTGTCCAAAATATTATTAATAGAACGGACATTCGAATTATTATTTGCAATAAATATAGTTTACCGGAAGCAAGGTGGAACATTACGAATGTTAAATCTAAAACTCTGCTTTCGGTATGCTACGGCATCTCTAAAAATGGCGTCGAGAGAGTGAAATAACTAATACGTTATATTCGTTCTAACCACTTCGCTTGTAAAAAAATAGTCATGCACGTTAAGTAACTGCGAGACGGGTATGGAAAAAAATAAATAGTTACACAATTTAATTGAATTATTTATATGCGTAATCTAAATGTATTATTACACTTATATTTTTTAGTCAATCAGCACGTATGTTTATTTCATACCGATACGTTTATTTTTTTGTCTATCTCATAAGTTTTATCATCCCTTAGTTTCTTAATATGGGGCGTCTTCAATCAAAACATGCCATCGTGAAGTCCTAGTGTTGTAAGCCGACTTGGACAGCCACAGCTAAGCCGGCCAAAATAATATGGTCAGCTGGCTAATGCGGCTAAGGGTCACATAATTCATGAATACGTAATAGAATTCGAAAAGGAAATGAAAACAGTAAACATAAAATACTTTGAGAAATTTCTGAAAAATAGACTATTAGTCAGGTATTAGCCAGCCACTTAGCCGATGTTTTAGTCAGCTGGCTTAGCCATCTGACTAAAGTCTTGTGGCTTACAACACTAATACTGGATACGTACGTAGTTTTAATTCTTTTTTTTTTTTTTTGTACATACGTACTAAGTTTAGTATCGTAGGCTTATGCATGCATAAATGCATTGTTAATAGCCACTCTTGATTTCGTGCAGGTTGCTCAGTTTTTAGTTCAATACAAAAGAACTTTGTTATTTTTGTAAGTAAAAAAATTTTTCTTACAAAAAATTTTTAAAAAAACTCTTAAAAAAATTTTTTAAAAAAAAACACTTTAAAAAATCTTTTAAAAAAAATCTCAAAAAAAAATTTTTTAAAAAAAATCTTAAATATGTCTTCAACTGTATATATGAAAAATTTCGCAACAGCTTCTATGTAGATATCTTCATATTCTCTTCCGGTTTCTCCAATATATTTATTAAATATAACTATATAGTTAATAATATAATGAATATAAATGATTTTAGAGAGTTCGAAGCCTGTTAAAATTTTGGTGAAACAATGGATAGGGATCCTAACTCAATGTCATTTGAGAGTAAGTTTAATATATATTTACTCAATCTCAAGGTAGGGCTTTGATGGACTCGAAAAGATGCCAAAGTTTAGGCAAGTTTGGAGGATAAAAATATATTTTAGAAATATTGAAGGCATTAGAAGAGGGAAAACAGGAATTAATCTTAAGACTACAAAAAAATGAAGGACTACAAAAAAACAAAGGACTAGAAAACGAAGTCTTAACTTTTTGTCACAAAGCTGAACAGCTAGAGCAAAGAATTTTTTACAAAAATTCAATATTTTAAGCGAGGAATTAGAACCCATTTTTCAACATTTCTCACATTATTATATTGATTTCTCTGTTTAGTTATTATAATTATTTTACATTAGTTTCATTAGTAATATCAATATTTTTTAAATTACCATGTATGTACATATATTCTGTGTTTTTTTTTTCTTCACATGCAGGCGGCAAAGCTGCCTGTTTCATTATTATGTGTTACGGTATATACGTTCACAGTACAAATTAAATAAAATGAATTCAAATTTCTTAATACCTAAATACCTTGTCTATTTTATTTGGTGCAAATAAAACGAAGTTAATGAAGTTGTACAAGAATTCACAAATTAAACGAATTAGAATATTCGCAAATTAATTTTTATGAAATGAACACTTCATTGGATAAAATTAACATAAATAAAATAAATATTCGATAATTAGTGGGGCAGTTTCGATCAGCTCACCGACAAACATTATAGTTACCAACAATTAATTCACAGACAAGGTTTATTTTACAGATGATTAATTCACAGACAAGTTCATTTCGTAGATAATATATTTACCAACAGCTCATTTACACTGGGTATGCCTTTTTAATAGTCGGTAAAATAATTTTTTCTTAAATTAATTTTCGCGAACTAAGTTGTCTATGAAATGATTATCGCTGAAATAATACAGACCCATACTGAATAATGAACGATAATACCAGTGAATAAATCAAATATCTATAAGATATTTGGGGCCCAACCATCTTACAGACACCTGATTTATCATTGATTTATAATACCATACCACTATTTTTTTTCCCTACTGTAAGATAATTTATTTCAGTCAGTTTCCTCTATTATCAATTAAAACTAAAATGACAAAATGATATAACCGATGAAAGGTGGTGAAACTAAAGAAAAGTAATGAAACTGATGAAAGGCGACAAAACTGACAAAAGGTGCGAAACTGACAAAACGTGCAAAACTGACAAAACTAATGTATTCAAAAATATGTACTTGGCTTACACGATAATAAATCCGCAACAAGCAGGGCTATAAAATTTTATCACACGAGTTAAATTGGTTTATTACGTAACATTAAAGACTTGATTTATTCCTGACCTGAGATTGCTTAGATTGCTTTATATTCCCTTATTAAAAGGTTAATAGTCCTTTAAAAATTCTCACGACGAAAGGTAAAAATTACAGATAATCTGGTTTTAAATTAGCTAACATAAATGGGTGATTTTTTGGTTAACCTAATACAGCTACTGCGGTGAATGTATAATTTGTCAACAACAATCAAATCTGATATGCGTTTATAATTATAATAATGTAAATTTTAATCGCTAATATTAAATTAACGAAGAGTTTCTCATAACATATATTTATTATATTAATACGTATGAATTATACGAAAACTCTAAATATCATGATTCAAACACACGTTTTCCTTCTCATTGTAGTAATAAAGAGATTGGGTGACCCACGATTCTTAGGAGAGGGTATAGTTTGCTTACGCTGCTACTAAATCCTTGAGGAAACTTGCCTCATGCCCTATAGATCCTACCGATCTCTATACTATCGTTAATGGCATTAAATTTATCTTAGTGATTCCGAGGGATTGAAGAACCCTCAGTTCTTAAGACTTAAACTAGCTTCTGTCCGTGCTTGCAAATATCTCCAAAGCAATATTACTATAGTTAAAAAACCTTAAAAAATCGGTTCATTATATATCCAGTTATTTTTGATTTCTCAATTTTGTTACGTTTTGAACCTTTGAACTCAAGATGGAATGTCAAAGGTAATGTTAATTATGGTTAATTTCCAGCATAATTAATTTTGAAGTGTGGAAAATGAATATTTTTTGACTTCATAGTTCTAAGACTCTCATGATTTTGGAAACTTTTTATAAGCTTTTTTTTTCATTACTATTTTAAAATTTAGCCTGAATATTCTCTATTTTATTCTCTGAAGCATAGCTGTAAATATTAACTTCTCCTTTTAAACTTATTAACGATGATCTAATATAATAATAAATAAATTATATATCGGTTGTTCTTTGAAACCATTCATTGACTGAATTCATCTTTTGCATTCATTATCCATTAAATCAATTCGAAAGAATGGAAAGTTTAAGAGTTGTATATAAATATACTATTAGAGCAATAACAATTTGCATAATATATATTTACATTTTTTTATAATATAGTATTCATGAAACACTGCATAAATACTTGATAATAATACCATAAAGAATATTGGGAATTTAAAATATGGATTTCAAAAATAACAAATTACTTTACAGAAACCTAATTATAAATTAACAATATTATTATTATAGGATCTAAAATAGTATATAATAAATATACTTTGAATATATATTAATCATATAATAATTATATTTTTGTTCTTTCTGCTAACTCTCTTGTAACTTCATTACTAATAATATGTTTGTTATATAGATACAATATAATTTTATGTATAAATAATCTGTTATTAACCCGGGTGATGAATAAATTATTTCTAATATGTTTCTAATATGTTTATAATATTAATAAGTTTCTTACAAGAGAGTTTACAGAGCCCACTAATATTTTTATTATATGTTAGATATATTTTTAAAAAATCAAGGTTTCTGTAAAGTATCGCCTAGAAAATTCTCTTAAACAGCAAATTCCTCATGAATTTTTATTATAATCAATATTTAAAGTTGACATTAATATTTGATTAGAGACAGTTACAAATAGATTATTTCTAATTATTAAATCATATTAAGCATTTAGATCATTTATAGTATAATTAATTATACTTGATTAATATGTTTATGATTACATTAATTGTATTGATAACCTATTTTCGATAGAAATCACATTTACACAAAATTTTTGATAAAAAATTTAACATTGTACAGTGCTCTAAATACAGTAATTTTATATACTGTACAAATGTATAACAAACTGTATATGTAAAATGGCGCAACATAACTGCCAAGCCAAGCAGGTCATTTTAATTAAAAAAAGAAATAAATAGGCCAAAAAAGAAAAAAGAAAAGACCATTCATTTTCTGCATAAACTTAAATTCTGACCTTTTAATTCTACATAGTATACTTACGAATTCACTGTAACCATATTTGTAAAATGACTTTAAAATTTTTTGAACAACTTTCTCAAGATTTTACTCAGCTTTTGGAAAGCGAATATGATTATAATGTTGTAATCGAAGTCGGTAAACAAACGAATATCCAACATTTTAAAGCACATTTGGTAATCTTGTACCAGCGTTCATTATACTTTCGCCAAAAACTTACAAATGCCGTTAAGAAAAATAATATTATTGAAATTAAGTTGCCTCATATTTCTGCCGAAATATTTAAAAATGTTATTAAGTAAGTTATAGCATAATATTATAATTTTCAAATATATATTTTAATTATTTCATATTCTTATAATATTATAATTTTCAAGTATATATTTTAATTATTTCATATTCTTATTATGTAGATATATATATGGAGGCGTAGTTTCTTTAGAAATTTTAGAAGTTTCAAATATTTTTGAACTTTTAGTCGTTTCAAATGAACTTGAGCTTATAGAATTAGCCGAATCCCTTCAGTCTCACCTTATCAATAATAATTCATCTTGGCTTCGTTTGAATTTTTCTCGCGTTATTCAAATAAGCTTTCATGGGAAAAATCTTAAGTCTTTACAGCAATTTTGCAACGATATAATTGTTAAATATCCAAGCATAATCTTTAACTCTGATGATTTTACTACTCTTCATGAGGATGCTTTGATTACCCTTTTAAAAAACGATAATTTACAAATTGAGGAATCAGAAATTTGGGATAAAGTTATCTTATGGGGAAAGGCAAAAACTCCAAATTTACCATCTAATATAAAAGATTGGACTAATGATAATTTTAAGTCTTTAAAAGCTACTCTTCAACAATGTCTTCCTCATATTAGATACTTTCAAATTCCTGGAAAAGATGTATTGAAGATAATCAAACCCTATCGAAATATTCTTGAAGATAACTTGTGGGATGACATTATGTCAAGATTTGCAGATCCAAATGTGCCTATCACATATCCCATTTTACCTCCTCGTAAAAAAATAATTGTACAGCTTCCTCCTCGAAAAGCTTCGGTTATTACGCTGTCATCTTCAATAATCACATTACAACAAGCAGCAGAGATTTCATCATGGATTGATCGACATTCGACAATTTATGATACTACAGAAATTCCATATGAATTTAAACTTTTACTTAGAGGCAGTAGGGATGGATTCACGGGTGAAGTATTTCATAAGTTATGTGATAATATACCTGGTACTGTGGTTGCTGTAAAGATTAATAGTACAAATGAAATACTTGGTGGTTATAATCCTCTTATTTGGAAAATTGGTGGCGAATATAGAGCAACAGATGATAGCTTTATTTTTCTTTAAAAAATGGGAGCCTAAATCAATCTATTCTTAGTCGTGTAAAAGATACATCACACGCAATTTATGATGCTGCAAAATTTCAAGGTCCATGGTTTAGTGGGTGGGACCTTGGAATGGGAGCTTCTTCTGACTCTAAAAAATGGCATTGTAAAAAGGAATCATATTGTAAATCTATCAGAAATACAAATGGATGGTTTACTGTAGATGAATATGAAGTATTCCAAATTTGTAAAAATATATAATAACTTTTCTGCTAATTAGAGCTATTACATTATTAGCATATTCGTAAAATAAAATTACTTTGATTAGTTAAATATGCAGTAAACATTTCTCTTGATAATAAATTACTAACACCTATATTTTAAGCATTTAATACTTACAATAAATATTCATTAATTGATGATCCACCAGTCACCTGAAGAATAATCATAGTAAAATGTAACTCAGATTACTATATAAATTTACTATAGTGCGAATATGGCGATCACCCAAGGTAAACTTTTTTCATATTAAGTTAATCACCTTTCTTGCTTAAGAGACTTTTGTAAAGCTTGTCAAAACGCATCTAATGGTAGTTAGAACGTCAA